CTATCAAACCTCTTAATAAATGTATGGCTTTTATAGTCGACCTACCCGGCATGAATCCAAATTGATTTTAAGAAATATTAGTATCATGCCGCAACCTCTGCTCCATAACTCGCTCCCATATTTTTAAAGTATGACACATTAACTTAATACCTCTATAATTCGCACAATCTTGTGCATCACCTTTATTCTTAAAAATAGGAATTAACACACTCATTCTCCACTCATCTGGCATCTTTTTAGTCTTCAAAATAGTATTAAAAAGTTTAGTAAGCCATGAAATTCCTTCATCTCCTAAGCATTTCCACACCTCTATTGGAATATCATCAGGAAAAAAAATAATGAAGGAGATTTAAATGGACATATAGGTAAAGAGATAGATGATTTTAAAAGTATTCATACTAACTATGAGTTTGGAAGATAAAAGTTAGAGTGAGAATGTTTGATATTTTGAAGTTTTGTTTTCAAATTCTCAATTCGCGAGATTTTTGGTCTTTGATGGTGGTGGACGGTTGTCGGCCCCCCTTGGCCGGTGGGCCATTTGAGGAGCGGCGTTCTTCTGTCCGTCCCCTGATTGGTGGAGCTCATGGTGTATCATTGTCTCCTCCTACATTCAGAGATGACATGAAAACATTCAGTCTTAGCGTTAAGTTTAATGCTAAGAGGAGTAAGCCCTTAATCATAAATGAGGGTGGTTTGCTTTTTATGAAAAAAGAGGAAGATGTTGTTGGTAAGCGAAAGAAAATCTTGGTAGAAGACAATCTAGAGGCATTGGTTTCATCTGGAATGGCACTGTCTGCTAGGGGTGATTTGGCGACTTCTCCTTCGTCAAGCTTTAGAAATGAAGTAAATAAATTTTTGAATATAGCAGGAATGTATTCTGCAAGCTGTGGGAAGGAAGGCTCTCCATTTAGGGGTGTAAACGGATCCAATGAGTCTAATGTTGCTAGAATGACTAAGGTGCTGACCACTGTTGGTAATTCACATTCTGATCTAGAGCAGGTGTGAAAATGCATATCTAGTGATCTGGCAAGGTGTAATGAAGTTAATGATGATTTTCCTACTCGCCATAACTTTGGAAATCAACAAAATGCTTGGACCAAAAAAGAAAATATCAAAGTTGTTGATTTTGATTTTGGTAACTGTTTATCAGAAGATGGCAAATATGTAAAGCTTCATGAAAAGAAAGTTTTAGAGAATACTAAAATACTTGAAAACTCCTTAGTAATAAAAATATTTGGTGGTGAGGCTTTGTTTTCTTCAATCAGCTATGAATTGAGGACCAGTTGTCTCAATATGGGAAATTTCATCTCACTATGCTTTGAATGGGATGGATTCTTTGTTCGTTCTCTCATATGATGTATAGCCTCCATGGTTGGTAAGCCTTATTTGATCGATGACAATATGTTTCAATGGTCCATAAGAGAATTTGGGAGGGTGTGCGTCCAAATTGATTTGGATGCGAAGCTTCCAATAGATGTATGGTAGAAGGAGTTGGAGAAAAATTATTTTAGAAAATTGAGTACAAAAAGATTCCTAACTTTTTTTTTTTTAGTGTGAAAAGATTGTCCATGTTGAAAAGGAGTGTGCCAAAGTTATTATGGATAACAGGGTAAGATCTTTAGGGCCTGAAAACATAATTTCTAATAATATGGTGGAAACTAGTAATGCTGGAGGTAATCAGGATCTGGTTGTAGAAGGGACCATTTACAAAGAAGGTTATGACCCATGGATGTAGGTTAAGTATGGAAAGAAAATGTTTAACAATAATGTTAGTAGAAATTTTGCTTCTCCGTTTGAAGGGAGGAAAAGTTTTGTAGTTGTATAGAATAGTGACAAAAGAGAAGGAGACAACAAGGTTAACAAGCCAATTGAAGTTATGGAACCAGTGCAGCCAGATCTATTTTGTAACAAAAAATATAACTTGTTTGCTGATAGCAGCAATGCTCATCCAGCAAAACCTATAATCAGGAAGTTTGTTATACTTAATGATGAAAATTATTTTAAAGCTCTCTTTGATCTTAAAGAAGAATGAGAGAATATTCAATCAAATATTGATGAAATAGCTGTTGAGGAGGTAAACAAAGCTTCTGTTGCTAATGTAATAGAAACTGTTGCAGGAAATGAAGACACAAAAGTTTCAAATTCAATTATTCATAAAGCTGAGATTTTGTGTGTGTGTGTGGGGGGGGGTGTCACGACCCAACCCAACCGGAACGAATCCCTTCGCGTCGGGCCGCGACATAAATTGAAAATCCAGGATCTAGTTTTGGAATTTGCTTCAGAATTTCTTCCAAATATCAGACATACAAAAAACACAGAGCTACTAAAAACATTTGAATATACAAAACAGTTCATCTATATTTTCTTCTTTCATCAAAATAATCATGTACAATACAGTGCATGGCTACATACAGAAAGAATAGAACATAAAAGTCATGACTGTACAAAAATCAAAAGAACAAATTACCTAATCACATATCAAACACTGAATAGCTAGTCCAAGATCTCCTTCCCTTTCCCAGAACCTGAAAACCACGCAGATAACAAGGATGAGCTAACAGCTCAGCAAGACTACACCAGCCAATCAAAATCTCCATAAATTCACATCAAAAAATACATCAGAAGAGTAGTCATACAAAATTCAGATAATCGTACAGAAATCGTATAAACATACAGAATACCGATACTTGATCAAACAGAAATGAAACCACTGAAGCAGAAGAACTAAATTCACTTCATATAATAGAATATTCAAGTCAGATTTCACAGAACATATAGAATTGTACAAAACAAACAGAATCGTACAGAACAGATTTCAAATCAGATAAAATCACATTTTACTTATCAGATATCAGATATCCCTGACCCAGACAGAATCTCA